GTCGCCCACGCGGGCCTGGCACACAGCAGGCACCCAGGAAGTGCCCGCCGTCGAGTGAATGAACAAAGGCCCCCACCCGGGCAGGGCGCCGCCTGTCATTAGCTATTCCTCCCCCTCGTGCCCTATGAGCAGAGGGAAGGAGGCAACGACAGGGGCAGAGAACAAGGCCGGTCTGTGCCCTGGCCAGGGCAGCTTTACAGGGACAGTCTTTGTACCGGCCGGAGAAAAATGGCGGCCAGACCCCCCACCTCCGTGCCCACCTGCTTCCCCGGGGCCCACAAGGGGCCGGCGCGGGAGCCACTGCGGGGACCCGGGTGCAGCTTCCCCTCGGGGACTTGCTGAGGGCCGGCGCCCAGTGGCGGGCCCGCCTCCCTGCCCTGCTCTGCTCCGGGGCAGGAGGGCGCGACACAGGCCCCCTAGGCCGGAGGCCACCACGTTGCCCACGGGGGGAGGGGCACGTGTCCTTGTCCCAGATTGTTTTGGAAGAGCTGGGCCCTGGGGGCAGGCCAGCCGAGTGGATTCAGGGCACAGGGCACCGGCATCAGAGTGACGCCAACTCGGGCTGTGCTGACGAGGCTGGAGGGAAGGACAGAGGGTGCCGTGGGGCCAGCGGGGACACGGCTGGGCTGAGGGCCCAGGGTGTGTCTCCATCTGAGCCACCGGAGTCCAAGACCCCGGGGGCCAGAGTATGGCCTCCTGCAAATGCCTCCCCCCGGCCACCTGCTGGCCGGGATGCCAGGAGATCGTCAGCCTGCCGGGAGCCACTGGGGCAGCCAGCCACCCCCTGGCCTGGGCCAGTGACCTCGCGGTGGGGTGGCGGGAGGGCAGTTGGCCTCAGATCTGCGATGGGCGGCTTCCAACCCTCTGCCCCCTGGGCCGGCTCGGGACCTAAGGCTCCAGAGGTGCGGTGGGTGGGCCCGGCCCGGACGGGCACCTCCGGGAAAACGCTGGGCCCTCTGTTAGCGGAAGCCGGTGCCCGCGTGTGGCCGAGGTCCGTGGGGCCCCTCCTTCACGAGGGGCCCCAGCCTTCCGTCCCTGTCCTCACTCAGCCCTCGGGCCTGTGCCCCTCTGCCTAGGCCCGGCTTGTGCGCGGGCCAGCCCCGGGCCCCTAGACCTCGCCGCACCAGCTCACGCAGACGGGGGGCTTCCTGACCTGCTTGGACATCACACGGGGAGAAAACACCGACATAAAGCCCCGGGCCGGAGAGAGTGCTTGCCCCGGACCCCCGTGAGGCCCACAGCTCCCAGGCCGGGGGAGGAAACGGGAACACACTTCTGCTGGCCGGGACCTCTGCTGGGGTGGACGTGGCTGCACGTCACGGCTCCCTTCCCTGGCAGGCGCGTGGTCTCCCCTCACCTGGCCGCCTGCTGAGCTGTAATGAGTGGGGGTGGGGAGGGCAGAAGGGAACCGCCCCGCCTCTGGGCCGCCTCATGCCGCCTTCCTCCCACCAACGCCCTTGAACCTTGGGTGACCGGGCCCCTCACGGAAATGACGGTGGAGCCCGGAGCCTCACATCGATGGCGGAGGGGGCCCGGGGGGCCCGGGCATCGCAGGCCGGCTCTCTCTCCGTCCCTCCACCTCTGCTCGTCAAGACAGGTAGGGTCCCACGCCCACCAGCTGGGAAACACGCCCGCCTGCATGTGCACCTATGGCCCGTGGTCCGTCCACCCCTCATCTGGATATGGTGGTGAGCGGGGGTGAGGGGCGGGGCTGGGCTAACTGGACACCTCAGAGCCCGGAACCCTACCCTGGCTGGCCCATCCTCCAGCCGGGAAGGACCAGAGTCTCTCCCGGCGGAAGGAAGCACCTGCGGGATCAACCTCGGGGGCGCTGAGCCCTGGAGGGTAAACTGAGGCAGGGAAAGCACTCGCCACAGGCCAGACCTCCCCCGACCCCGGCCAGCAGGCAGGCTCCAGGATGCAAGCAAAGCACGCCCGC